TTACCGGTCATCTTTTAAAAAAAAAAAAAAAAATCAAGGTGTTATTGGGTACGTTCCTTCTGAAAGCTCTAGGGGAGAGTCAATTTTCTTGCCTTTTTCAGCTTCTGGAGGCTTTCCTTGTTCCTCGAATTGTGTTCACTTTTGAGCCAGCAATCAGATCACTCAGATTTCTGCTACAATCTTCATATCTCCTTCTCTGACTCCGACTTTTCAGCCTCCCTCTTATATGGACCCTGAGATTACATTGGGCCCACCCCCAAACAAACAAACAAACAATAGATTGGGTCCACTTGGAAAATCCAGGGTAATCTCTCCATCTTGATATCCTTAACGTAAAGGCTTAACTATAAAGACTTTTTTGCCATGTAAGGTTACACACTTATAAATTCTAGGGATTAGGACATGGATATCTTTGGGGGCCATTGTCCTACCTTAATCTACCATTATTCTACATTTCCCTAATTTGAAAAACTTTGTTTCTGAATGCTGTGGATTGAATGTCCCCCCAAAACTTAATCTTCACTGTGACAGTGTTAAGAGGGTGGAAAATCCTATTATGGTAATTGAAGGTGTGTCCTGGAAGAGGTGATTAGATTATAGGACCATGCCCTAGTAAATGGATTAATAAATTGATGGTTTAGTGGTGGTCTTGGGTGTGGCTCTGAGAGCTTTAAAAGGAGAGCATGTGAGGAACTATTTCTCTCTCTCTCTCTACCTCTGCCATTGGTCATGTGACACCCTGCTGTTTTTTGTTTTTTTGGCAGCTGGCCAGTATGGGGATCTGAACCCTTGACCTTGGTGTTACAAGGCTGTGCTCTAACCAGCTGAGCCAATCAGCCAGCTCTGACACACTGCTTTGCTGTGAAGAATCACTACCCACCAGCAAGGCTCTCATCAGATGTGTTTCCTGGACTTTGGACTTCCCAGCCTCCAAAACTGAAAGCAATACATATTGTTTCTTTTTAAATTACCCAGTTTCTGGTATTTCTGTAATAAGCAACNAAGCAATACATATTGTTTCTTTTTAAATTACCCAGTTTCTGGTATTTCTGTAATAAGCAACAGAAAAAGACTAATACACTGAAGGACCTTTATTTCTGACCCTTCTTCAAAATGATCATCTGCCACTGTCCAAACAAGTGCTTTATCTTGTGAAGCCTCCAGCTTGACTTTCATAACTAAGTAAAGCCTTGTATGTAGGATTCAGATTTAGGGTGCATAGGGCCTTGAGATTCAAAGTTCAGGGGCTCTAGATTTCAGACCCTAGAGAAAGACTTTGGTCTTGAGAGAATGACCTCAATTCTGGGAANCCTTGACTTGGTGGTGTCAGCACCACGCTCTCCCAAGTGAGCTAACTGGCCATCCCTGTATAGGGATCCGAACCCTTGGCCTTGGTGTTGTCAGCACCACGCTCTCCCAAGTGAGCTAACTGGCCATCCCTGTATAGGGATCCGAACCCTTGGCCTTGGTGTTATTAGCACCACACTCTCCCAAGTGAGCCACGGGCCTGCCCTGGTATTTTAACAGGGATTGCATTGAATCTGTGGATTGCTTTTGGCAGTATGGTCATTCTGACAATATTAATTCTTCCAATCCACAAACATGGGATGTCTTTCCATTTCTTTGCATCCTCTTCAATGTCTTTCGACAAACTATATAGCCTATGTAGCCTAACTATAAACTTATATAGCCAAAGCAATTTTGAAAAATTGGAAAAATCAGGACTTACACTACTTGACTGTAAGACTTATTATAAATCTATAATAATCACAACAATGTGGTTTAAATGTAATGACAGACATATAGATCAATGGAATGAAAGAGATATTTCAGAAATAAATTCACACATATATATGCACTTAATTTTCTTTTTTTTTTTTTGGTGGATGGCCAGTATGGGGATCTGAGCCATTGACCTTGGTGTTATCAGAACTGCACTCTAATCAAGTGAGCCAACTAGGCAGTCCTCTGCATTACTAAGTGTTGATGAGGACACAGAGCAACTGGAATTCTCACATATTCTTGGTGGAAATGTAAACTGGTATAACAATTTGGAATTTTTAAAAAGTTACATATTTGATTCAGCAATTCCACTTCTGGGTATTTACCCAAGGGAAAGAAAAAGAAAAACATATTTACACAAAGAATTGTGCACAAATGTTCATAGCAGCTTTATTCATGAAAGCCTAGGGGCGAGCCTGTGGCGCACTCCGGAGAGTGCGGCGCTGGGAGCGCAGCAGCACTCCCGCCGCGGGTTCAGATCCTATATAGGGATGACCTGGCCAGTGCAATGCGCTCACTGGCTGAGCACGGTGCGGCCGGTCACAAAAAGGACCAAAAAAAAAAAAGCCTAAAACTGGAAATAACCCAAAGTCCTTTAATGGATGAATGAATAAATTGTAGCACACCCATATAATGGAATACTACTCAGCAATAAAAAAGCAAACCACAACAAAAAAACCCCACTGATACATCTAATTATGTGAATCAATTTTACAAAAAAGCTGAGAAAAAGAAGCAAACACAAATGTGTAATGCATTACATGGTTTCATTTGCATGAAATTCTGAAACAGACAAAACTAATCTAAGGAGACAGAAAAATCAGAGATCAATGGACTGGCAGTAGGAGGTCTGACTGCAAACACAGAGAATTTTTTAAAGTGATGGGAATTTTAAATATCTTGATTGTGGAGTAGTTATATAAGTGTGTGTATACATTTTTCAAAACCTATAAATTTCCAAGTACAAGATACTGACCTAAACTGATTAGTTATGTTTTATAGTCAATTATCTTTGACCTCTCTTACAAATATTTCATGTCATAATAGTCTATATATCATAGTTCCAAGTTTTCTTAAACAGAACAGAATATGGATGAAGTGCTCAATAGCAATTCTAGTAGAAAACAAGCCCAAATTATATACCACCTTAACTATTGCATATACACCTCCTGTGACAATGTCTCACTGTATTCTTCTTTTTTTTTTTTTTTTTGTCTTTTTTCGTGTCTGGCAATGGATCGCAGCCCTCAGTGTCGCACCCGTACCGGACCGGGACCGGCAATGGGATCGCAACCCTCAGTGTTGTGTCCGCACCTCGCTCAGCCAGTGAGCGGGAACCGGTCTCCAGATGGGATCCAAACCCTCAGCGGGAGCGCCGCCGCGCTCCCAAGCGGTGCACTCTCCAGTGCGCCAATGGGCCGGCCCATCACTGTATTATTCTGCTGTAACAAATTATCACAAACTTAATGGTATAAAAAAGGTGGTGAGAGGAATTTGTGACTTGAACTTGGTTCAGAGTTCAGGCAAGAGAGGGCAATGGCACCAGGGAAGTATAGCATTCACTCTTCCAAGGGGGATAAAAAAGCAGACACGGACTTGGCCGTATATTTAACCTTAGTTAGCTTCAAGGAGAAAGACAGCACCAAAGACCTGTACACTAATTACCTGATTCAGAAGCCAAGGTCCTTCAGATTTTGCAGCTAAAAATGCCCCTCCCATTTCCTACAGGGATTTTGGGCAAAGAGCAAAATGAGACGAAGTTAGAAATGAATGAGTAATGGCTGAAGGCCAGGCCATAGTGTCCTCACCAGGTAACATGAAAGCTTTCAGGTTATAGTAACAGGTTCATTCTCTCAACTTCGTTCTTCCTCTCTTCTCTCCATTACAGAGTGATGGGTTGGTGGGTCTTGTCTTAACTTTAATTTAAAGGAAAGAAAAAAGTAACTAAATTCAGATGTCACCAGAGAAGAACTTTGGAATTTAGTGTCCCCAATGATTTACTTTACAGGATTAATGTTATTTGCATCATAGGTTTTCTTATCACTAAAGATGCAAATCTCTGCACTAACTTCCCTCCTAATCTGCTACCTGTTTATATTGCCCAGATATCCAGTAACTGCCTGAGACTCAGGAATGAGTCATCCTCTGCCCAAGCAGGTGGCAGTGGGCACACCTGAAGAAACAAAGTTCAGGCACGTTGCTGGAAGGAGCAATCAGCACAACATACAGCTTCAGAGGAAGGTGTCCTGGGACAGAGCGCCATGACTTCTGAGAAAGGTAACAGGGACCAGGGACCTGGCAAGCTCCGAATTCTTTTTTTTTTTTTTTTAAAAGATGACCGGTAAGGGGATCTCAACCCTTGACTTGGTGTTGTCAGCACCACGCTCAGCCAGTGAGCGAACCGGCCATCCCTATATGGGATCCGAACCCGGGGCCTTGGTGTTATCAGCACCGCACTCTCCCGAGTGAGCCACGGGCCGGCCCATGCTCCGAATTCTTGAACAGTGCAGGAATTTGTGTGTGTGTGTGTGTCCCCTGCTTAAGTCCTTGGGTATTTTCCAACTTTCGTATTATTAATTAACATATTAATATTATTCTTATATGTTTATTATTATTAGGAAATATTTATATTTCCAACTGATTTTGACCAAATGACACTAAATCAGTGCTTGTTTCATATAATAAAAATTAAGTAAAAATACAACTTGCTGTAGCTTGGATATCCCCCCAATCTCATTGAAGCTTAATCCCCACTGTCATTGTTAAGGGTGGAAAATCTTATTATGGTAATTGAAAGAGGTGGTCACCTTGAAGAGGTGATTAGATTGTAGGACCGTGCTGTAGTGAATGGATTAATAATGGTGGTCAGGGGTGTGGTTTTGAAGGCTTTAAAAGGAGAGCACATGAGAGTCTCTGTCTCTCTCTCTCTCTCTCTCTCTCTCTGTCTCTCTCTCTGTCTCTCTGTCTCTCTGCTATTTTCTGCCATGTGAGAACTCTGAGTCACTATTGCCACTACCAAGGCCTTCACCAGCTGTGTTCCCTGGACTTTGGATTTCCCAGCCTCCGAAACTGTAAGCAATAAATTTTGTTTTCTTACAAAGTACCTAGTTCCAGGTATTTTGTTATAAGCAACAGAAATGGACTAATACACAACTGTTTAAATAACAGTTTAAGATAACAGAAGTTGGGCCAGCCTGGTGGCGCACTCGGTAGAGTGCGGCGCTTGGGAGTGTGGCGGCGCTCCCGCCGAGGGTTCGGATCCCATATAGAGACCGGTCTGCTCACTGGCTGAGCGTAGTGCGGGCGCGCGACACCGAGGGTTGCGATCCCGTTGCCGGTCGCGGTACGGGCGCGACACCAAGGGTTGCGATCCCGTTACCGGTCACAAAAAAAAAGACAAAAAGGAAAAAAAAAAAGATAACAGAAGTAATAGCACAAGAACAATATGCTAATTGGTAAATGAATTGACAATGATCAATTTATAAATTAATGCAGATTTAGTGTTAGACAAATTCATGGAAGAGAGAGAACACTTCAGGCTGTGGAAGAAAATTATTTCTAGTGAGGTGGTATTTGAGCTGGATCCTAAAAAGCAGACAGAATTTGGATTGGCAAAGAGAGGCAGGAGACTTCAGTTTGCTTGAATCCTACTGACAGACAGAATACGAGAGAATTTACAGAGACTGATGTTTTGAATGTAATGAGTAAACCGGTTAGGCTGGAGAAGAATTTATGGGACTACTGTGCAGTACAACTAGAAACTACATTTGCAGGGATGTCATAGAGGGCTTTGAATGCCAGGCTGAAGAAATGGAGGTTTATCCTTTAGGTACAGAGAAAACTTTTTGAGAATTTCTAAATAGCATAGAAATATGACTAAAACAGCACCTATAGACACACTTACCTGGCATTTGATGGGCTTTGGATTGGAAGCAGGAAAGACTGGAAGCAAGGAGGCTAGTTAGAAGATGATGGCAGTAGTGTGGCCACGGTGACACAGGAGGTAACGCAGACATCAGTTTGGGGTGAAGTAACAACATATTTTTCTCCATTATATTCTCGCTCTATTAAAATTCTCTTTTAAGTGTCATGTTGGGGGGAAAACCAAATGCATTATTTACTTGAAGTACCTGGGTACTTTCCCTGGGCTTCCCTTCTGCAGTCATGTGGCTGGTGTTCTTGTCTTGCACCCCAGGGAGGTATTGATTAGTGGAGACACTGAGCATATGTCTCACTCTCTGTTCCTGGAGTTTTCTCTGCTGCTTCAGCACCTTCAGAGGAAGTGTCTGCCCATCATCAGTGTGACCTTCTCCTGTAGATACGGCCTCTGTCTCCATAAGGCCTCCTTGCAGTGGATCGCTGGTTCAGGAGCCCCAATTTTGCACTAAGGTCTTAGAAGTACTCATGCCAACGTGTCAAGCCATCCCCTTTTCCCTTCATCTCGATACTCAAATTCCTTGTTCCTTCTTTTAAGAGAGATTTATTCTTTAGGTCACACTTAGGATAGTGTTTCCTGACTCTGACCTATTTCCTAAATATTTGGCCGATTTCTTCTTTTTTTTTTTTTTCTTTTTTTGGTGGCTGGTATGGACTCTGGACCCTTGAATAATTTCTTATTTTAGTCCCTCACCCCAGCTAGAACCACTTTTCATCTACAGGAAACTGTGCCATGCACAGCCCCCCTCCCCACCACCCCTCTACCATCCAGTGCAAACGCATGGACATATGTTACGGTCATACACACAGAGCCTGGGGCAAAGCGTATCCTGCATTAGAAGTGTCCCCCAAATCTTGTAACTCCTCTTCTTGGTTCCGCACCTGGGAGTTAGGTTTGACTAGGGGGATGGGCTGAATCTCTTGCCGGCATCTTCCCACAGCCTCTTCACCCTCATGTTACAGGGGGGCACTTGGCTCCTGGACTGGCTCCCAAAAACTTGTTACAGGGCACAGGTCTGGCTGCCTGCCCCCTTTCAAATGCAAGCCACTCAAAAGTCAACTGTTGGTGAACATGGAAGTCAGCTTTTATTCAGGAATACAGTGACCTGAGGAGAGATGTTAGGTTAACTCATTTCTCCGGTAAACCTGTAGGAGAATGGCCAGACGAAAGCCATCTCAAAGACTCAGATTTGTTGAGGGTTTTTTAAAGAGGGGGTTTATGGAATGAAATGTGAGAAATGAAAAGCAGGAGAGAGAGAGACATGAGCTGTGGGGGCTCTGTGCAAGGATCCAGGTGCAGGCCTCACCAACACTCTGTCTGGTTTCTTGTTGCTTTGCCCCCCATGGATTTGACACCCCTCTTCCCCTGGGTGATGGAACGGCAGAGGATCACTCAAAGCCCATGTCTTCTGAGCAGTGAGAAGCCCTGAAATGGTTAATTTCCCAGAACCCTCAAGAAAGAGGCATTCCTTTCATTTGGGAAATTAACCACAAATTGGGGTTCTCTTCCTCCATTTATTCTCTAGCCCAGGAAGTTACAGGAAGAGACATAGGTGGGCTTGAAGTTTTAACAAGCTTAACAATAGAAGCTGGTAACACTCAGTAAAAACAAGTCCGATGACTCTCCATTAAGGCAATTAAGTGATCCACCAACAAATCTTGGTCTTAGCAAACATTCCTTCTTACAGCCATTTCCCAGTATCTTTACATATCAATCAGTAACCTGTCTGTCTTTGACCCAGCAGCCTTGCTGTGTAAAAACTCTTTATCTTACAACAGATACTCAATAGCCTGGGGACATTTTCCTGTTTTTTGTAAGGTTAATATTTGAAACTGCAAGGCTTTGGAAAAGCAGGCCCTGTGAAGTACATTTGCTTTATAGTATACTCCACAGTTTCTGTTCCTATCTTTGTTGTTATTTCAGGGTCTGGATAGTATGTGATCTTGGCAAGTCTGCAGCTCCAGGCTGGCTGGAAAACAACTTTACATTCATGTAAATAATATCATCTTGCCCCATAAACAAGTTTCAAAGTATCAAATAACCCTGGAAAAAGAGAGAACTCAGAGAAATGCACGCCATAAAACAAACAAACAAACAGAAAAACAACTGTGTCCTTTTAAAATGTGCCCATGGCCCATGTGGGTTTAGGTCTCAACATGGCTTCAGTCCTGCTCACTCCAGCACTCAGAGTGGGAGCCACTTTTGTATCTATCTCTGACCCACTGAGAAGGGGCACCATGTGGGGGAAATTTATGCTCTCTGTCTCAAACATCACGGATCTCTGCATCCATGGAAAAGAAAGATTGGTGATGGCAATTTAGCCTCTTGGCTTATGAGCCTTTTCTCCTGCCTCCTCAGTCAAACTTAAGCTTTCAAATAACCAGGGGCAAATCCTTAACATGAGTTTTTATTGCTGGAATAAATGTCCATGTTCCCCCAAATAAAACAAACGAGTTGCATTTCTGCTGTCTTAAGTTTTGGATTTCTGCACCATGAATATTCTGAGCCCATACTTGGTCAGTGCCCATTTCATAGCTGGGGGCATCCCTACGTGTCTGAGTCCTGAGAGGCACAAGCCTCTAAAATCCAGTACTTTACCTGAGTCATCCCCATACTCTCTAACAGCTTCTTACACTTAGAATCGTATCCAGGGCTTGTACGGCCCTATATGATCTGGCTCATCTCCTATCACTGTATATCTTGCCCACTTGACCTGGCCATGCTGACCTCCTTGCTCCTCTATGAACACCTCTGATTCTTGCACTTCGGGTCCTTTGCACTTGCCGTTTGCTTGGAATCCTCTCCCCCAATATCCACATGTCTTGCTCCCTAACTTTACATTCAGGCCTCAGCTTTAAGATCCCTCTCCTAAGGGGCCTTCTTCCATCACCATCTTCACTACAGGGTCCCCATCACCTCTTATCCCCTTACAGTACTTTTCATAGCACCTGTCACTACTGACTTTATATTATGTATGTATTTGTTTGTTTATTTGTTGTCTCTCTCCCTCTTAAGAATATAAGCTCCATGAAGATAGATATTTGTTTTATTCACTGCTATACCACTAGTACTTTACAAGAGTGCTTAATTTAGCAGGCTCTTAATTAATATTAGTTGAAAGGATAAATAAGTAAATCCACCTGCACAACTGGCCCCCGCCGTACAGACTGTAGTTTGCTGCCATTTGCTGCCATTTGCTGGTCACTGATAGCATCCTCTTGGCTGTTTTTGTTGATATGTGCTGGTGTGATACCAAATTGATAGGCACAGGGACCAACCAGGGCTCTTGGCTACTCCGGGGAGTCTTTTGACTAAAGGAGGGATCAGAATGACCCCCATCCCCTGAAGCCCTGTGCGCTGGGAACTCAGGTGATTGATCATACCCACCTCAACTTTTACTTCCCAGCTCCCAGTTCTGATGTGGGCCCTACTATTCTCTTCTTTTCCTAAGAGCAGGGGTTGTTGCTTCTTTTTCTTCCTTCTTCCAAGTTAACGTGATTCAAAGGGAGGATTTGTGCCACCCTTGAGATCCCCTATGCAGCAGCATTTACTTAAACACCTTCAGTAATCACCTAACCCCAGCTGAAGCCTGGTTCTCTTTTTCTAGCTCAATAGGCTATTTCCAAATGTCTTTTTACTCCCATCGCTTGTACAGATGTCTTTCCTCCTTCCTCTTGATTCGTGGTTTACACACACACACACAAATACATAAAATCAGAGGTATCCTGGCTTCTCTCCACACTACCAAATACGCTTCCTTTAAATTAAAACTTAGATAATAAGAGCTGGCCCCGTGGCTCACTCGGGAGAGTTCGGATCCCATATAGGGATGGCCGGTGCACTCACTGGCTGAGCGTGGTGCAAACAACACCGTGCCGAGGGTTGAGATACCCTTACCGGTCAAAAAAAAAACCTTAGATAATCATAGATTCATCCACAGTTTTAAGAAATAATACAGAGAAATTCCTTGTACACCTTGCTTATTTCCCACCAGTACTTACATTTTGCAAAATTATAGAATAATATCACAACTAGAATTTTGACATTGATACAATCCACCGATTATTTTTTTTCAGACTTCCCCAGTTTACTTGAACTCATTTATGTGTGTGTAGTGTGGCTTTAGTTCTATGCAATATTGTCACCTGTGTAAGTTCATGTATTTACCACCAGTCAGACACTGAATAGTTCTATCAGCACAGATGACTTTTGCTGCCCTTTTATAACCAAATCCTCCTCCCTCCTGCCGCAATCCTGTCCCTAACCCTTGACAACCACTAAGATGTCCTTCTTTCTATAGTTTTATCATTTTATCGTATTGCATTTTGGCAGCTGGCCAGTACAGGTATCAAATTAATTCTTTAAAGTTTATTCTTTTACGAGGAGACTATCAAGTACAGTGAAAAAAAAATTTTGACATCAGACATATGTTGGTAGAATTACCACTAATTTGTCCTAAGACTACTGTATTGCATTTTGGCAGCTGGCCAGTACAGGTATCAAATTAATTCTTTAAAGTTTATTCTTTTACGAGGAGACTATCAAGTACAGTGAAAAAAAATTTTGACATCAGACATATGTTGGTAGAATTACCACTAATTTGTCCTAAGACTACATGTCTTCAGCTTGTTCCATTAGAGTTTTGTTATCTCTGAATTTGGTTAAATGCTTTGTGGAGTAAATAAAAAGGCTACTGCTATTGGGTTCCATGATAAGGTTTAAGGCATAAAGAAAAAAGTGAGGTTACATAAGGTAGAAAAATAGAGGAGAAAAAGTTAAATGCTTTGTGGAGTAAATAAAAAGGCTACTGCTATTGGGTTCCATCATAAGGTTTAAGGCATAAAGAAAAAAGTGAGGTTACATAAGGTAGAAAAATAGAGGAGAAAACATGTTTGTAGTAAAGTTCATTCAATCATTCATTCAATAAATGTCTATTGCTAATTAACACATTTCAGGCAGTGTGATAGGGTCTGAAACAAGATATATACAATCTATATTTCACATGATTTATAATTCAGTGTTATTACAGGCATGCAAATAGACAATCATAATATTGTGTGATAATTGCTCTGATGAAGGAAGTACACACTACGAGTGAGTGCACATGCACATTATACCTCGTAGCCTCTGACAAGTGACTTCCCATTGCACTTAGTCATTTTTGTTGGAGCCTCAAGGAGTATTACCTGGTTTGGGATTGAGCATCTTAGCACATTGCTTTCAGCAGAGCCCTTAAAAGTCTTGTTTTCAGGCCGGCCCGTGGCTCACTTGGGAGAGTGTGGTGCTGATGACACCAAGGCCCCGGGTTCGGATCCCATATAGGGATGGCCGGTTCGCTCGCTGGCTGAGCGTGGTGCTGACAACACCAAGTCAAGGGTTAGGATCCCCTTACCGGTCATCTTTAAAAAAAAAAAAAAAAAAGTCTTGTTTTCTCTGGTGCAATGAGCTGGTCCAGTACAATTAATTCATAAGAGAATCTTCTAACTTCATTTCTGACATGATTTGCAGGTTTCCAAGAATAGAACTCTTTTTCTTAGCAAGTAAATTTGTATTTGAGCGTTATTTGACATAATCGTCTCTTGGTCAACAGGTCCTTCAACAGGTGACGCCACGCTGAGGTAAGAATAATACTCTCACAGTGCCCATTTCATTTAATCAAGAACAAATGGGTATTTAAGAGCTTAGGACTATGGGTTTTTTATTGTTTCTTTCCTCTTTTCACCATGTTCCCATTCTTTATTTTTACCTTTTCCAACTCTATTCTGTAAGATTATTGGTTTATTTATCTTTGCTTCTATGTCTTCTGGTTTCTGTTTAAATAAATTACCTTCTAGCTAGAGTCTAGGTTATTGTCTTACTATTCCTCTTCTGTCTTGAAATCCCATGTTTTTATAGCCATTAGTGAAATGTCTGGGGAACTTATCTGTCACTTTAGTTTCATCTTCCTATTTTATACTATATGCCACTTTCTAGACTTATCTTTATAACAGGGAGATCATGTCAAGGGATATATTATCACATGGTGGGTGGAAGACCTGATTTATGTAATAAATGAATGTGATACTTTAGGGATGAGTGGGAACTAGTAGGAAGTATAAGCTTATGACTTAACCATATTGCAAAGAAGTGTCCTCAGCACAATCCTGGGGTCCCCCTGAATCATAGCTCTCAGACGTGGAGAGTGCTAAGTCTAAGGATGCCACTGAGAGCAATTTGAATTTCTTTCTTATGAGGAATTAGTATACTGGATTCTAACATGCAAGAACTGCGAGGCTAAATTACCAAGAATTGACCCCAGAATCGTGTTGGCAGCTTGAGGCTTCAACACCTGAGCAAATCTGGTAAGAGTCCATTGAGGAGTAGTGATTGGGACATGGCACCTCTAAGTGTGAAATAGAAGCATTAGAATATACGGTAATGAGAAACCTTTAAAAGAGAAACAAGAACACACTCAAACCTGAATTCACAACTAAAATGCAAGGGTATTAGAAAGTGGCCACCAAATAACATGAGGGGGAAAAAACAAAACAAAACCAAAAACGCTTCACTATGTTTGCGAGAGGAGCTCTGATAATTGAAATGGAATTCTTCTTTGAGACACAGAATAGAAAAATAAAGTTTTCTGAGATGTCATGTTTCAGCTTTGCCTGATGGAAGAGGCGAGCATGAAATGATTTCTAAGGTCCTCATAAAGATTGCATAACAACAGGTGCTTTCTATATTTCAGGAGAAGGATTGAGCCCTGGGAATTTGATGTCTTCTTTGACCCCAGAGAACTCCGTAAAGAGGCCTGTCTGCTCTATGAAATCACGTGGGGCACAAGCCATAAGATCTGGCGAAACTCAGGCAAAAACACCACCAATCATGTTGAAGTTAATTTTATAGCAAAATTTACTTCCGAGAGACATTTTCATTCATCCATCAGCTGCTCCATCACCTGGTTCTTGTCCTGGAGTCCCTGCTGGGAATGCTGCAAGGCTATAAGAGAATTTTTGAGTCAATACCCTAGTGTGACTCTGGTTATTTATGTAGCACGGCTTTTTCAGCACATGGACCAACAAAACCGGCAAGGACTCAGGGACCTCATTAACAGTGGTGTAACTATCCAGATTATAAGAGTCTCAGGTAAAAACAATAAAGACTCTTAAGTATTTATGAGAGTCTGTGGTGATAATATCTGTTCCTAAGCCAGGAGATTGGTTCTCCCAGGCTGGAAGTCTCAGAAGTGATAGTCCAAAGTAATGTGAAAAAAAAAAAAAAAACCCAGGTGTGA